CACAATAATAACCAAATTGCCCCAAGGTGAAAGGAAGTCCAACTAGAACATAATTGATTTTGCACTTCATTATCTTCTAGCTAAGCCATAGGGGTAATGAGCATAGAACTTTCTAACAGTCATAAAACCTTGAATTCTTCACTTTTATTCTTCTTGTAATAATTGATCGAATAGCTCAGAGAATTAAGAAACTAAATGTATACTCATTTGTGATGCTCATGCATCAATGCATATGTTAGTATATTTCATGGGGCTAGAAGGCACGCCTTTAAAGATTTAGTCACCATCTTCTTTTGCTGAAGTGACCCGGCATGTTCACTCGCTAAAGTGACCTATCAAGGTCACTCATTAAAGTGTCCTATCACTCATTAAAGTGACCTATCGAGCTCTCTTACTAAAGTGAACTGCCGAGTCTTTTGTAACTACTACTTGACATTAGTGAACCACCAAAGTAAAGGTCATCACTCAAATGACAGACATAAGACCTTGTCTATGTAAGAGCCGCAGATATCTGCATATTAATCTTCTCGCTAAGAAGTTATGGACAACTCTCACATTGTATTATCTAAACCTCATTATTCCCTTTTTCTACCCTTGTCAAGAGGCAAGGATGAGAATAAGAAAGAAAGAGAAATTTTAGGAACTTCCCCACTTTAAAAGGGGACTAGTTGTTATCATGTCTTCTTTGGTCCTGTCTCTTATGAGAAGGCTAAGAACTAAGGATTGAGGATGGGACTCCCACTTCATTTTTTTCTTCTTCAATATTTCTCTAAAAAAATGTCTCTTCCGAATTGTGTGAGCCCACAAATGATACACAACCCTATGTGCTAAAAGGATTCAATAATACTACTTTCAATAAATTTAACAAAAAGATCCCATCATTAAAGCAGCAAACAAATTTGAGCTCTCTATCTCACCATCTTCATGTCTTATTAATATTTCTAAGAGAATTTGCTTCTCATTAAGAAGTAGTCTTCACCTTTTAAAGGTGACTAAGAATTTATCTTTTCAAATAAGTTACTATTTAAAGTATGTTTTATCCTACATTAATTTTAATAAAATATTCTTTTATAAATAATATAATATCTTATAAGACCCTACAAGAGATGGTAGATGAGAACATCTCCATTTAAACAATGCACATATATAAAAAAGCCTCAATGTGCATGGATAAGGTATTCACTTAAAAAGCTCCTTAAGAGCATGTGATATATAAGGTCTTATCTCATTTAAAAAGCCTGAAAAGTCATAAGCCTAAGACAATTTTTTTTTTGTCAAAAATCATAGAAGATATAAATTTCAAAAGTTAAATGTCCATCTACAAACCTCAATAGTTATAAATCTTCAAAAAATATTAAGTTGTTTTTAAAATTATAAGAGACACAAGCCACTAAATACAAATTCTTTTCTGAATTCTTAAAATACCTAATCCTCGATAATTTTATTTTATTTTGTTTTATTTTTTTTTAATCTCGAAAGCTATAAGTATTAAAGATATGGATTTTTTTTTCTAAAATCTTAAAACATGTAAGTTTTTGAAGGTGCATACTCTTTCCAAAAATCTCAAAAGGCATAACCTTAATAAGTACAAATAAAAAAAAATAGAAAGCATAAATCACAATAAGGATAGGTTGTATCTGAAAAATCTTAGAAGTCATAATTCTTAAATAATTTTTTTTAGAAATTTCTCAAATGGAATAAACCTCAAAGAACACAAATTATTTCTAAAAATATTATAAAGCAAACCCTCATAAAATAAAATTATTTTGATTATCTTGAAACCTCAAACAACATAAATCTTTAGTGAAATATATTATTAATTCATATGAAGAACATATAGTGAAATTCAATAAAAAAATTCTTATTTATTTAGAAATAAAAAAAGGGCATACTTCCAAAAGATAAGATTTTCTTAATCATAAAATTTTTTAACCTTAGATGATATAATGTCTTCCAAATTCTCAAAAGATATAAACCATAGAAGGATTTAAGCCTTGAAGTTTTAATCATGAACCTTAAGTATTTTAACTTTTTCTCTAATACATTTAAACAATTTAATCTCCTATGAGAAGCAAGTTCTTAAACTAATACATTGCCATTAAAAATATTTACAATTCATAGAATTATTTTTAATATTTTATTAAGTATCAATTCTTTTGAGTAAAGAAAATAAGACTAATGGATGAAGATGTCATCTTTATTTGTAAAAAAAAATTAAAATGTTTTTTATGATTGATGTGAAATATAATAAAAACAACATCATAATTTCAACATAAGTATATCCTAAATTAAAATTTTCTAAAAGTGTAATGAATTTTTTGGAAGAAATATATAGACACACACACTTAATGAACAAAAAAGATCAATATAAATTTCAAATATTAGTATTAAAAAAAGAAAAAAAAATCACTCCAAATTGATAAAATCAACATAATTCATATGTTTTTGGCATTTTTTGGACTTTCTACATCATCATTTTTATATTGGTACACTAAGGATGTTTTCCAATCATTGTCTCTTGAAAGAGCTACAACAAAATTTAAGGGTAATTACTATCATATTGGGGGAAATTTGGAAAGGAAAATTCTCTCAGCTCAAGTGCCTAAGCTTCAATTATTCTAAAGGGAGATAGTCAACCCCATTGGAAAAAAAAATTATCTTCATTTATGAAAAAGTTAGTATAAAATTCAATAAACATGTAACATCTTAATTTTAATATTAGTAATCCTTGCATTAAAATTTTTCATAGATCAAAATGCTAGAGTTTTGAAATATAAGTCTTAGAAAAAAACACTTTGGTACACATAAACATTCAAAAAAAAAAACAAATCTAAATTTTAAGTAAAATTATTAAAAAATCAAGACAATAGTGCCAAAAAGAGAAAATTAACAAACTGAATAAGTATCTAGCATTTTTTGGGAAATATTTCTACATAATAATTTCTATATTATTACACCAAGATTGTGACATTACATCTACATCAAATTTTGAGTGTAATTAATGACCCATTAAGGAAATTAGAACTTTAAAATGGAGGGAACATTGCTCATATTAGGTTCCTGAATTCAATCCATCTATATGGAGATAATTTAAATTGATTGAAGATGAAGATTAAAGCTCTGTCGAGAGATGAAACTAAATTTATATCACTATAATTCCACCAATGTTTTAGGGTTTGATGCCTTTTCCATATAAGTGTTAAAGCCAGTTAAGAGAAATGTACATCATCGATGCAAAATAATATCAAGCCCCTATATCGATGAGTATTAGAGTCTGTGAAAGGAGAATTATTCACCACCTATATATGATAGTGTTGAATCTCCTCTTAAAAAAGAATAGAAGCTCGTGAAAGGGGATTTATAAGGTGTAAGTTTCCGCCTCCCCCCATTAAAGTATGCATACTTAAAGAGAGAAGAGTGAGTCAAAAATCTTTTCTATAAGTTTTAGTAATTTTTTTGTAAAATATTTGATATTATTTAGTCATAACTTGTAGTTAATTCGATAAAAAAAATATTTTTTATTTGATAAGAAGAATGTTAATGTAGAATGAAAACTTATAAGTCTAAATCTTAACTTAAATTATTTACATATATATTTCACTAATTGTTTAGATGAGATGTTTGATTAAACATTTTTTCAAGAAAATATATAAAAAATAAAATTAAAAATAAAAAATACCTAAATAAGCATTTAGAAGCACACTAAAAATAGTTTTGGTTGTTAAATTGGTAATGAAATTCTCTTAAGGTGAAAGCACATCACCAATTTTTCTATCCTTAAAGTTATCATCATATGTGATCCATTAATTGAGGCAACATGGATTCTAAGCTTGAAAGAATTAATTTCTTGAAGAACATCCTTAATCATGACTACAATGTTGGCTTTGGTGTGACTCATAACAATGTAGGAAGTGGTCATTTTAAAAAAGGTTGGCTATGCTTCTCAAACCACAAATTCATTGAACTTGTTTGCGTGAGCTTTAAGCTATATCAATCCTCCTAGTTCTACTCCACTAACATAATAAAAAAAAGGCACACTTATATTCCTAAATCACTTATCATAGTTATTATTAATCTATTCCTATGGAACAATTGTAATAAATAGTTTGTGATTATAAAAATATGTCATTATGGGCATTGATGGTCAATATGTTATTGGTATTTAGTAGGTGGTTAGTTTTTCTTACAAATCTTTATAAGCTTGCATATACTCTCTCTTTTGGTGTATCATATAATCATTGAATAAATAAATTATCCCATTCCTTCATGTTCTCCTCTCCTACCTTCACCTTCCCAATCTCTCATTTTTGTAGAGTTGTTAGGCACCTCAAATTGCCATTTAAACTTTTTGTTCATAACCAATCAATACAAACCCAATACAAGCTTCAATATAATGAAAGAAAATAAATTTGAGGTTTTTTCAAGCCCACAAATTTTAAGAATGGGGAGATGTACAGTATAAGAGAATGAGACTAATTCATTTTTTTCATTGATTATTAATATTCCTTACAATTAGAGTATTTTTATAATTATAAAAAATTTCTAGGATCCTAACTATATATTAACCTATAACACAACTATCTATTACAATTAGTATAACCAGCATTAACTACTAAATTAAACAATCTATCAAAGAATTATCCTTTTCACCTTGAGTGGTTGTTTAAGAGAACCTCCATAAAAATGATTTATAAGACAACAAGATTCTTTAATACATTACAAATAAGTAGACCTCAACCAAGATCCTAATGGCAACATTAATTGAATGAGTTTAATTGGCTATATTCAAATCAACTGAAATTATTAGGTAAACATAACTCTCATGTTATTGTGTGTTGGTTGGCCCTTATAGTTTTTATCTGACACTCAAATTATGAGATCTTTACTAATAACATATAAAACTTATATGCTCTCCTATTTTTAGAGCAACAAATACTTTGGCTAACTAGAGCCAACCTGATCTGTTGTCACTCAAATCTTTGTAAGCGATAAACCACCACCTCTTAGTTACTCAAATATCCACCACACATTGAAATCTCCCAATCCTCTACCGCTTCCCCCTCTTCTTCTAACACCAAGCCTTTTCCCTCTCCTCCGACTCTCCTCACTCCTTCAAGCTCTCACAAGCAGCAGAGCAAATGGCTTCTGCTTCAGTAACCGCCGTTGTCTCTCTCCCCTCCTCTAAATCCTCCTCCATTCCTCCCTCCGCTCGAATTTCAATCTCACCGTGCGAAAGAATCCACTTTCACAGAGCAAGATTCCACCTTTCTTCTTCCCAGACTACCAGCAGATTGATATCTGTCAGAGCTCAAGTAACCACTGAAGCTCCTGCAACGATTGAGAAGGTCTCAAAGAAGGATGAGGAGGGAGTCATCACCAACAAGTTCAAGCCCAAGACGCCGTACATTGGCCGTTGTCTCCTCAACACCAGGATCACCGGCGACGATGCTCCTGGAGAAACCTGGCACATGGTCTTCAGCACCGAAGGTACCCCTTTTCTCCTTCCGCACCTTTCTTACTGTTAAAAATGGCTTTTTGCTTAAGATTTTTTACGAATAACTCTATCCAGATTTTGATTGTCTTTCTTCTTGTAGGGGAGATTCCCTATAGAGAAGGGCAGTCAGTTGGTGTCATCGCCGAAGGAGTTGATAAAAATGGGAAGCCTCATAAACTGAGGTTGTATTCTATTGCTAGCAGTGCTATTGGGGATTTTGGTGATTCCAAAACAGTGAGATTTTGGACGTTGGCTCTCTTTGCTCTTGAGATAATTTAGTTTTGGTAATGGCTTTAGCGGATGAAATGAATCAACGTTGCAGGTTTCTCTTTGTGTAAAGAGGGTAGTTTACACCAATGATCAAGGGGAGATTGTTAAAGGAGTGTGCTCTAATTTCTTATGTGAGATTCTTAACTTTTTGAAAGGAAATTTGGAATCTGTTATATAGTAGAAAGATTGTAAATTTGTTGACGCCATTATTTTCTTCTGTGATTAAGGTGATTTGAAGCCTGGGGATCCTGTTAAGCTCACAGGGCCGGTTGGGAAAGAGATGCTGATGCCTAAGGATCCCAATGCTACTGTTATAATGGTGATTTTTAGAATTTATATTTGGATTTTTTTTTTTTTTTTTTTTTTTTTTTTTGTTTTTTTTTTTTTGAGTGGTTTGATTATTCTGAGCAATTCTGTAGAAGTTTTCTGAAAACTTTGGTTTTAACATTATTGCAGCTTGGAACTGGAACTGGAATTGCTCCTTTCCGTGGATTCTTGTGGAAAATGTTCTTTGAGAAGCATGAGGATTACAAGGTATGTTGATTCCATAACAATGGGTTTTTGAAGGTAGACAATTATTTGATCAACCATTGGGAGGAAGTGTAGACCAAGGTGGCTAACGAAGGGTAATTTTATAGGCCGATTTTGAAATTTATTTTCAACCCAAAAGCTTATGGCTATGGAAGAGGGTCAACCACAAGTGTTTTTACACATATATGTTTCAACTATCTGATATCACACTAAACTCAATACTCTTACATACTTCAATAAAAATGATAATTATATTAATTATTAGAGCACTAATATATTTTTATGAAATAATATATGTGAGTTCATAAGAAACTAACTCAGTTGGTGATGGCATGGCACATGTTATAAGCCTGAGAGGCTGAAAATAATGATAGGATATTATATTATAGTAACTGTAAATAATGTATAAAAAATAAGATCTTTTTAATAATAAAAATCCTTTACTAGCTACCATCATGTAAGTAGTGTACACACAAAATTATCCATGTAAGTCAACAATTATTTTGCTCAAATGTAAAAAACATCCACTTACAAGCATGCTACATTGATACTTCTATCAATAATTTACTAGTAATTTATTTTTTAATTAATAAATTATCAAACTCAATTTTATTTTAATATTGTTTATGATTCATATGAGTAATTATTATTTCTTAATAATCAAAATGATGTATATAAAATTTTCTAGTATTTCCGTATTTATGCAGCAAGTATTATGACAAAAGCTATTATCACTTGATATCATTATGATCATATGAAATACTATAAATATGTAAAGCATATATCACAATACACTATCAATAATTAAAATATATAAACAAGTAGCAAAGAATATACCCCTAATAAGGAATATTATGTTTATCACTTATTAAAGATTCATCTATCGACAGAGATCACGAGTAGATGAGCATTTCGATCATGATGCTAATCTTTTTTATTCAAATACTCGATGTTTCGTAGCTATCAGTTTAAAAGAAATAATCATCATTCAGTATATTGCCCAATAAATAATTTAGACATCTTTTAGAAATTGAGGTTCTAAACATTTTTAGAGTTTATTCATTATAATCAATTCCAAACACCAGCGAATCATTTAATACTTTGTATATCAATTAAATCTACAAATGCTATATGAAATACTCAATATCATGCTAAAATTTAATTCTTAGAAAATCCTTTCTTCCTTTCAATTGCATAATAATTATTTAAATTAATTCTAATACTCTAACTAAATACATATAATTTTTACTATAGAAATCTCAACATACGTTCTCTCTTTACCTTAAATGGATGCATTCTCAATTCTTATGTATTTACATATCTCTAACATCTCAACTTTTATTTTTTACTTTACACCACCCAAATTATTTATATCATATAGAAAATACCACTATTTTGACTTTGAAAAAGTGAAATAAACCTTTTCATGCATAGGTAAAGTAGCATATATGTAAAAATTGAATTTTTGTTAGGTATGTAAATTTATAGGAATTGAGTGTTATGTGTGTAATTCTTTCTTTTTTTTGGGAAATTTACATACTTAGCACATAATTCTTATGTCTTTACATATCTCACACCTAAACTTACATATTTATATGCATAGCACTTTGGTTCTTCAAACTTATGCATGAAAAGGTGTATTTCACTTTTGAGAGTGGTACAATTACTATTTTTTATGTACTATTAAATTTGAGTGTTGTGCGTAAATATGAAAGTCTAAAAGTCTAGGCTTGAGATGTGTAAATACATATGAATTGTCTGCTACATATCTAAATGCCCTTTTTTTTTTTTAACATGGCATAGTAAACTAGTAGGAGCCATGGAGTTCTCTTTAGCAACAGTTTTAAGCTCTGTTTCTCTAAAATCTCAAAAAATTCTAAAACTCTACATGTTTAGTAGCTATGAAGTTAATGCTAACGCTTTATTGATGTGTCACAACTTGCTCGAGTAATTTAAGCCTCTTAAACTTGAAATGCAGTTCAATGGCCTAGCATGGCTCTTCTTGGGAGTTCCCACTAGCTCCTCCTTGCTCTACAAAGAGGTAACCTCCATCACCATTTCTTTTAGGAGGATTTACATACATACCACCCAATTCTCATTTATTTACATATCTAACACCTAACCATCAATTTTTACATATATGCCGCCTTATTTATAGATGAAAAAGTTAAAATAGTATTATTTTTTGTGTGAAATGAAATATTTGGGTAGTATAACAGTAAAAATAGAGCTTCGGAATTAAATATGTAAATACATAGAAATTGGATGGTATGTATGTAAATGCCTCCCTTCCTCATTAAAGTAAACCATTCTTGTGCTTGAAGACATATTTATCTTCTTATTTACAGGAGTTTGAGAAAATGAAAGAGAAGGCTGCTGATAATTTCAGACTGGACTTCGCAGTGAGCAGAGAGCAGACTAATGCCAAGGGAGAGAAGATGTACATCCAAACACGCATGGCTGAATATGCAGAGGAACTGTGGAAGCTTCTCAAGAAAGATAACACCTTTGTTTATATGTGTGGATTGAAAGGCATGGAGAAGGGTATTGATGATATCATGTCCACTTTGGCTGCTAAGGAAGGTGAGACAATACATATATTAACGTTAAAATCCAAAATAGTTTCTTATTTTTAGTTATTTCACGTAAAATGACGCATTTTTAGAATCAACAAGTTAATATTCTGACTGCTGTTATATTTGACTTTTAGGTATATGAGCACTCTTTATGCATAAAAAAAGGCCTAATAGAATCAACCCAAAATTGCATATTCGTTCGTTAAGGGCCCGTTTGGGGCAGCTTATAAGTACGGGCGGCGTTTTCTTAGAAGACACGTTTCGGCAGGTTATCCGAAAATGCGGTTGGGTTTTAACACTAAATGCAGGCGCGGGTCGAACCCCGCGGGCCGCGTTTCCAGTTAAGCTGTTTATCTGGATAAGCACAAGCTGTCCCAAACGCACCCAAGTGATGGGCTCCGGATTTGATCCTATTAACTCAATCTCACAGCTATCACCACAAATCCCCCAAAAATATTTTCCGGGAATTTACATATGTACCACCCAATTCCTATTTATTTACATAACTTTGCTTTTTCAAATTTATACCACCCAAATCCTTAATGTCACATAAAAATTATCACTTAAATACATATTTTTCTGCACATGTAAGGTGGCATATATGTAAAAATTAATATTTAGATTGTAGATATGTAAATACATAAGAATTGAGTGGTGTACATGTAAATCTTCCTTGTTCCATACAGGCCCCATAGAACTAGAATCAGCAAGTTGCATATAAATCTATCTTAGATTATAACATTTTATGAAAACATAATATGGTTTCATATGCTAACATGAAGCTTCAACTGCAGGTATTGAATGGATTGAGTACAAAAAGGAGCTTAAGAGGAACGAGCAGTGGAATGTTGAGGTGTATTAGTGCTTTCTTCTTTCATTTTCTAATGGAAGTTCGCTTGTGTAAATAGTTAACTTGTTCTGTGTATTGTGTTACATAATTGTTTTGTTGCAAGGCAGCTTATTATTGCTGTTATTTCTCAAGTTTTTATAGCAATAGAGGTGGAATAATGTAACGTGGCCATGAACAGTACCTTGCAACTCAAAACTAAATTCCAGTATCCCATTTTTCTCATATTGTGATGCTAATGAAGGATGCAAAGAGAATTTCTTTTCTGGCAATGTTTTTGATGCAAAAAAAGGGGGGAAATTTACATGCATACCACACAATTCTTATGTGTTTACATATCAACCATCTAGAGTTATATTTATATTTATAACACTTTAGTGTGATAAATCTATGCATAAAAATGAGTATTTTATTTTTAAAATGTAGATAGTAATATTTTTGATGTGGTATTATCGATTTAAGTGGTATGCATGTAAATACTAAAAGTTGTGTAACTTCTCACGCACACACTATATAGATTATATATATATCTATATATATATAATTTGCAGGCAAGTGCACAATACCCTTAAATGTAGGTGCACAACAATAAAACCTTGTAGGGAGCTAAGAATATGTTAGTAGTCATTGACTGTGTCATGATTTAGTGACTCCCTAATTTTGTTTCCATTTGCATTTTGCCTCCAAAAAGGCTGTCCCTAAATTATTTTGGGAATGTTTTTATATTTGAAAAATGTGCCAAATGCTGGTTTGCTCTATCACACGGAGGAAAAAGTTCCAAAAGAATATACAATTAATAAGAAATTTATTTTTCTCATATGATAATATGATTGATGAATAATCGATCAACTATTATATTATACTCAATTTAAAGGAAATTTTGAAGTGTGGGCTCCGAAAATTCGAGTGCCCCAGCCTCCGTTGAAAAGAAAGCACATATGATATGAGAATGAAGGGGGTTTATCATAAGGTGTAGGGTTAAATTTTCAGAAGGCGGATGAGATAGCATATTAGACATTGCCTAGAGATTTCACCCTCATTTTGCAAGGACTTTAATATATTGGGGTTCGAGATTTCTCATATGCACAAGCCCCTATAGTTAAAACTTAGTATATAGTAGCAACAAATTATCTCATGGTTCTGTTATCCCGGGTTGTCATGGTTCATGATCTACTTAATCAGTAGAGATAGTCAACCCAACCTGTTAGAATGGTCACTATAAGCAACCATGGGTGGGGTTAATAAATATAAAATAACCTTATAAACAAAGGGTGAATGTTTGTCCAAGGGACTAATCTAAGTCTACCTTAGCTTGCCTTGAGTTTCTTGCTCTATCAAATATATTCTATGATTCATAAGTTACAGGTGCAAATTATCATTTGGGAATATACAAATTATAGTCGATATCATAATATGAGAGTGTCATTTGGCGGTAAACCACCGGATCAGAGGACTCTGGTCATTATCTCTTCTTTATGGTGTCATTTGGCGACAAGACCACACAGGTTAAGAACTCAGGCCACATCCTTATTAGCATAGTTGTTTTAAGTTTGAATTTAGTAGCATACTTAATATGACATTGATTCTTTGTGAGCTTTCGTCAACATTAAATTTGTTCACCTCGACAAACGATTACAGATAGTGAATGAATTTTGTTTTATGCGTGGAGTGATAGAATTTTCTTTGATTATTCTATAGATATTATAATTATATATTTTTTTTATTTTTATAAATGAATCCCTCCAATTAAGATGTGCAATGATTATGATCATAATCAGAGAATAATATCTTTGAACCCTCTCGACTATATCTCGCTCACAGAGGATCGGGTTTATGATTTATATTAGTTGAATTTATTTGAATTTTCTTTAGAGCTTAAAATTGAGAATATATCCCTCCAGTTTAAATCTACAACCAACTTGGTCACATCAGGGAATAAATTATTATTTAATTATAATTAATTGTTTTTGTCTTGTTGACTCCAATTTTCGTAAGGAAGAGGATTAGACGAACATGTGTGGAGTTCAATCTTGTCAACTTCACTCCTAATTAGAAGGAGCATCATACTAACTCAACGGTGGCTCAATCTTGTCAACTTGGATCCCTGTAGGGATGAGGGTCTGATTGACCGAAGTGGGATTTACAACCTCTATAGATAGGAGTGTATGTTGCCCATGTAACATTCTCAGCCCACTCGAGCAAATATTTAACAAACTAGTCGGAGCACATTTAAGAAATTTAGACTTATTTTTTTAAGTTGATTTTAGAAAATGTGCATGTCTTTTAAGATGAATTATTATTAGCTTTAGTTTTTATTTAACCCACACAATATTCTCAAATGCATAAGTTTGGAAACTTAAAATTAGCATGGGAGCACATGTAAGTATTTAGTATTTATTGGGTGTGATTTTTAGTGCATTTTTGTGATCTCGGAGTGGCCTTGACATATTTAATAATTTTTAAGGCGGTGTGCTTGACTTGACTCTAATAGCCTCATGCACAAATCTTAAGACACTATCGTTCTTCAAGTTGGTGTACTTGACTCGATGTTAATGGTCCTAGGGAATGTGCAAGCTGAAATGTTGTACAATATTTCAATTTGTCTTATGTTTGCTATTACAAAAGTGGTGCATATCCGATAGTGAAATGCATGATTTTGTCTAATAAAATGTATTTGTCCGCTTGTGAAGTTGAATTGCAAATCTGATTCACTTGTGAGGTTGGGTTACGAATTTGATGGGGATTAAGATGAATCATACTGATTGTGCACATTTGAGTTATCATATTAAGTATGTATTTTGCCACATTTAGCTCCCATTTGAGTATTCAAATAAACCCCACCCCCATGTAATTTCTTTGCATGGTTCTAATAACTTTGATTAGTTGATGGAATGACTCATTTTTATTTACAGGTGAGCTAGTAAGTTTATCATAGGTTTCATTCGAGCAAGATGACGAGTCATCGAGTCTCTTGTAAGTTATTGTTGACTTCACTTTTGATTGAGGTTTAGTTTTTTCTCTTTAGTAGCCTAGGGTCTAGCCATAGGACTTTCCTGTTGATTACTCCTAGAGGACTAGTAGAAAAGGAACTATCATTAAACCCTTCTTTACTCAACTTGAAGTTCTACATATTGGTCCTAACCTCTAGCACTTAATAGGTGGGATCAATATGGAAGAACTCAAGGTGAGTCCCCATAGGACTGCTTGGCCATAGAGCTGACTTTAGGTGTTGGTATGGAGTTGGTTCATTCACTCGCACTCACTTTCACTCACTTTCACTCATAACCCGAAGCACAAACTTTGTTGGCTTTGATCCCTTGATCCTTTGGGAGACTCATGTAGATGGTCCCCTAGACCCACTAGCCTTAGGCAGGGGTTTAGCTAGGATCAATACATAGAGGACCCAAATGGGGATTCCATTGGTGCATAGTTCACATAGAGTGGTTGGCACCCCAATTTTACTAAATTATCCAACTTGACATTTTGCCCTCCACCCTACATCATCTCAAACCATTTGAAACTACTCAAATTGCCCAAAACTACCCAAATTTGCCAAAATTACCAAAATACCCCAAATTTGCCAAAATTACCAAAATACCGCCAAAATTACCAAAATACCCCAAAATTTACCAAAATTACAAAAATTGCCTTGATGGCCCATACTTTTCCAAAACCTCCAAAATCATCTAAATGTCCCCAAAACCAATTTGGACCCTTCAATTGAACCCAATTTGATCAATTTCATTTTGACCAAAACCCCCAAATTGCCTTTAACCCCCAAATTGCCTTTAAAGTTGACCAAAACCCCCAAATTGCCTTTAAAGGCCAAATTTCTCCAAATTCACCCCAAATATCCATCAATTTGGCCCCAATCTTCCCCAATTTAAATTCTAAACTCAAATTCATCATGCCTATGATCATTTAAAACCAAATCCAAACTCAATTGACCTATGCTTTGAGCTCAACTTTGATCCAAACCAAAACCCCTAATTTTGACCATATGACCCAATCTCACCCAATTGAACCCCATAACCAACTCAATTGCCTCAATTTGGAACCCAAAATTTTCCTAACATTCCTAATAATCAAATTGAGCCCTCAATTGCCCTTGTTCAAGCCTCAATTCCACTCAATTTCAACCCAAATTCAAAATCCCCAAATTTGCCCCAATTTAGCTACATGCATGCTCAAATTCCACCAAATTGAATGCCCAAACCCAAAAATTGACACCCAATTGATGTTGAGATCTCTTCATGATATTCCCCTAGATAATTTTCAACCATCAATTTGGACTTAACCCAACTCTAGGCCAACCTAAGCCCAAGTTTTACCCAACACCATCAAAATTCACCAATTGCTAAACAAATGCCAAAATCCCTCAAATTGACCAACCAAATCAATTCAAAATCACCCCAAGTCTTTTCTAAACTCTTCATGACAATTATCTACACCAAATTGATCAATCAATTGGGCTCAATATCATGACTAGTCTAACCCAAACCCAACTTCAAGCCATTTGATCCAAATTGAACCCTTTCACCTAAATTGACCTAGCCATGTCCAAATGACCAAATTAATGACACTACCCCTAGCTCACCTGACTCCTCTAGCACTACCCCTAGATCTGTTGGCCAGCCTAGTAACTGGAAAACACCAGAACCGAGAGCCCCCATGCTTTAACTCAAACCCAATTTCACTCATCCAATGTGTCCAACTCTGATTGGTGTCCAACTCTGATTAACTCTGATTGGTGTTTAGCATTTTGAAGCCCTCCACATAAGCACTTAATTGAACCCAACTTGAAGCCCTGAGCTCCACCCTAATCCCCTCTATTTAAATCACCTTCATCATGACCAACGGAGAGCTAACCAAAATCCTAGGGGAAACTTTGTCAAAATCTCACCAGAGACTCTCCAAGCATTCCTAAGCATGACTCTCCAAGCATTCCTAAGCTCAAGCCAACCATCTTACACCTCTGGTTCCCTCTGTGAGAGTTCAATTTTGAGCTTAAAATCATGCTAAAACCAGGCCATTAATCTACACAACTCCACAGTGAACCAAGCTTTAATTAACTGTGCACATACTATCTTTATAGTGAGAGAAGTTGATTCCACACAAAAGCCCCACTCAAAAAGCCTCTAACCTAGCTCTAGACCAACACCTGAAATTGAGTTTGATCAAAATCATATGTAAACAATTTACCAGGGCTTGAGACTTCATCTGGA